CTGGGATTCCTCACAACATGGTGGCTGGGTTCTAAGGGTGAGCTTCCCTAGAGAAAGAAAGTCAGATGGAGGCTGTATGACATTTTCCAAGCTGACCTTAAAAATCACAGCAGTTCTGCATATTCTGTTCACTAGAAACCAGTTACTGAAGCCAGCATATATTTAAGGGGAGGGATTTTCACAGAAGTATCAACAAATTTATAAAACGACCACATCCAGTCACCTTGTCTTACCAATCATATATAATGGATGGAAGACGTTTCCAACTCAGCATCACTGAAACTCCAGCCAGTTTTATTGTGGTTGTTGTTTAGTATGATCTCTTATTTTCTAGAAAGTAACAAAGGGGGGCGCCTGGGTGGCGCAGTCGTTTAAGCGTCCGACTTCAGCCAGGTCACGATCTCGCGGTCCGTGAGTTCGAGCCCCGCATCAGGCTCCGGGCTGATGGCTCGGAGCCTGGAGCCTGTTTCCGATTCTGTGTCTCCCTCTCTCTCTGCCCCTCCCCCATTCATGCTCTGTCTCTCTCTGTCCCAAAAATAAATAAACGTTGAAAAAAAATTAAAAAAAAAAAGAAAGTAACAAAGGATTACAAGATAACAGTATTGAATTAATTCCAAACTATAGTGTTTTATTCATGCAGGCTGATGTCCTTACAACAGAACTGGAAACTACATCTTCAAAATGTCTACACCTGGATGCAAAAAATCAGCTTCTTCAACAAGAGTTATTATCAATGAAAGCTTTCGAAGAAGAACGTGAAAAACTAGAGAGCAATAACAAGAAGTTACAACAAGAAGTAGTAAAATTGAAACATTTTATGGAAATAAATATGGTAGAACACAGTGAAGTGGAACGGTATAAACGGGAGATTGAAGAAAGAGCACGACTGGACATAGTACAAAAATTACACGAAGTCCACCTGTTTTTACAGGTTAATTGATTGATCTGTAATGTACTTTCATTCATTTCACTGTAAATTACATTTTGGATAGATGTATTGTATGGGTTTCCTCTACTTGCTTTATGGAAATTTGTAGATTTCTGGAGGCATTTGTTCCTCCCTTTAAAGATTTCAGTTTTCATCATTGTTCCTACTAAATCGAGAAGATAAGAAAAAATGATGATTTAAACAACTACTCTCACTATGAGGAGGAAAAGAAAACTTATGATTTAAAAATTGCACTCTACTTGGATTATTCTTAAGTTTATTGTTGACTTTTAAATTTTGTCATTGATTCTATTATTTGAATTATCAGATTGCGTGAATACTAATACAAGAATGATTGAACTTTAATTTTATAAATCATATTTAATTCAGTTGACATTGATGATAAATATTTTACACTTGAGCTTTTTTTTTGCATTTAAAATTGCTCTCTGAATCATTGACTCAGAACTAAAGGAAACAGGTATAATTAATTATTCAGATTATAGCTATTTTAAAACTATCCTGTTAATTTGCTTTAGGCACAAGCAGCAGCTCAAGAAAACTTGGACCGGTTAAGAGAAAATGCTCATGCTTCAACGAGAAGTCAAATGGAACTTAGAATTAAAGATCTGGAATCTCAGGTCTCTACAATGAAGACGTCTCAAGAAGATTCTACTAAAACAGAGTTGGAAACCTACAGGCAACTCTACCTAGAAGAATTAAAAGTTACAAAGTCCTTGAGAAATGAGCTGCACAGGTAAGCCAAAACAGAATCATAGACAAGAAATTTAGCTTATTCATTTGCCTCTAAAGCATAATTTCTGTGGAGCCAAGATCATGAGATGAAGAGGAAGTGAAAGCCAAGTAGATCGTGTAATTTTGGAAAATGATGTTTCTAAGTGAACTTAC